CCCTCCCTCTGTGGGAAAAACCTGGAAAGATGTAACTTCTAAAAAGAATTCTTTGATGATTTGGACTTCTTAAATAAGTAACTGAATGAGAATGAACGATCCTCTGAAAAATTCAAAGACAAGTCCAAAAATTCCCTAGAACTCTAGTTGCTTACCAATTCTGCAAGTGGTAAGGTTTTATTACTCAGCATTAATCTTTGAAACTGGGTCTTGGGTGTGATAATAACAGTAATAAATAGGCCTCTGTGTTAGTTGCTGTCAGTCCCCTGCGTTAGGAGGGAGTGGCCAAGTGCCCACGTTTTTAATAATATAGTCACAGAAACAATGGTTTCCCTGATGTTTTCTGTCAACTTTAATCTTACACTTTTTTAGCTGCCCTGCTGATTTCTTATCTGGATTCAGTAGCTATTGTTTATTGAGAGAACCTTAATCTCTGAAAGCCATACAAACTCTAAGTAGATTATTACATTTTCTCCTGGACATTTCAGTCACCCCCATCTCTACCCCCTTTAGTGTTTATTACAGGTTCAGGGGGCATTGGTGGTTTCGTGGTAAAATTCCCAGTATTTTGTTCCATTGTGCACAGGTCACCCTGAGTCCACGACAGCTAACAATAACAACACAGGTAGTTCAGCCAAATTTCCAGACTTTCTGTTTTTATCCAAGTTGCCCTCCAGATCGGTGTTTATCAAAGTGTGAGCATCAGGGCACCTTCATAGATTCAGCTGGTTCATAGGCCAGACCACATCTCTGGCTCAGAATCAGAGGGACTGGGTATCTCCATGTCAGAAAGCTCCCCTCACACCAAAGAAGACCACTGCCAGAGAGAAATCCTTCTTGCTTGATGGCTCACATGTACAATGATTTAGATTGGTCGTAGGGAAGCAGAGGCCCTGGGACACACAGTTCACAACTTGCTCTCCACCACCAGCAAGTCTGGCAACACCAGACGGGGTGCTTGTGTGTTTCTGCCTTGAGCTTTGAGAGTCAGTGAATGAGGGAGATTATAGTCCAAGAAAATTCTCAGGATCTTTCTGAGCCTAGAACAAGGGTGATGGCTGATTTCCGATGAGGTAAGGCCATCTCTGGCATTTCTGTCAAGAAATGCCCCCTCAGGATCTCAGAACACGGAGCAAAGAAACCACCACACAACACGCAGCGTGCAGGTCTCAGCCTGGCAGCACTGTGTCTTTCTCCAACTATATACGCTGGGGCTTTGTCCCAAGAAGCCATATCTAATGCAATCACAGAACCCAGGCAACTGCATTTATTCTTATCTAGTAAAGCTTGAGTCTACCCCCAAACAATAATCATTTAATTAAATAATTCAACACCATGGAAGTCTACAGGACACTCAGTTGATTCCTCTTCTATCACTCAAAATTGATTGGAGCGCTATTTGCTAAGCAGATACCAAATGACTCGGTGATAACAAAAGCATCAAGCAAAGCGTGCTTCCTGTGGTTTGAGCCCTAAACTCAGGAAAACATACACAGGTGGGGAAATCTCTTCTGGGGCCTTTTATCTCTCTCCCAGGAAGGAGCGATTCAGTGAGCCTTCTGCACACAAGCCTCCGCCAGGGACAAAGCAACACTCTTCCTTCAGAAGGAAAAATTTCCTGCCCTTATAGACCTGAATTGTCTACTTCATCAAGACCAATCCAGCACACACATCACAGGAAAAGAGAGTATGTCCCCAGCTCCAGCAGGGATGAGAACACTCCTGAGAAGCAAGGGGCCCCAACAACCCCTCACCTTGCCTTTGATATTTGTTGTTGCTTCTCCTGGCTGTGCCTGCCGTCCTGGCCTGCAGTGGCTCTCTGCCATCTACCTGCTTTCCACAGCCAGTGTGCTCCTGGGACAGGAGCCAGCCCCTGGCTCAGCCTCTGCTCCTCAGCTCCCAAGCCTCACACCACAGGACTTGCCCCTGGCTCGTCTCATTTGCATTCACTCCACCCACTTTTGTCAAGGCCACTGGTTTTCTACTGCCTGTCTTGAAGGACATGTTGGGGCCAACTGCCCTCCTTATCACAATAGAACTAGAGCCCTTAATGCTTCTCACCCCCAACAGCAAACACTCAGTTAAATGATTCATCACAGTGGGGGTCAGCTGGATACGTAGGGGTGGTGTCTGCCATGACAGACACTAAGTGGTTCCCCCTGAACAGATAGCATCAAGTGAAGGGTGCCTTCTATGGTTTGACCCTCAAAGTCAGGGTCTTCTTCCCTCACCCCACCCCCCACCCCACAGTCTCAGGAATGCCCAGAGAGTATCATCCCCTCTGTTAGAGACTTGGCCAATTTTCAGTGGTCACACCCTGGTGTCTGAGTGCACGTTCCGAGTGGTTGGTGTCCACAAGTGCTGGCATTGGATCATGGCCACTGTGCTCTGTGTAGCAGAAGGACTGAGGGGCACTGTCCAGACCACTTCTGTAGAAAGTCCTGTGGCACTTACCACCATTTCTCCATGTCATTGTACCCAGCCCTTGTATCACCAAAGCCATCTCTGTGTAGTCTTAGAATTCAGTCCCCTTTCATCTACTCTCTTTCATCTACTCAAAGGTTATAATAGTGCTGAAGGTGACCATGGTTATTATGTATTGACTATGTGTCAAAAGGGGGCCTTGGTGGTACAGTGGTTAAGTGTTTGATTGCTAACCAGAAGGTCAGTGGTTCGAACCCACCAGCCTCTCCAGAGAAGAACAACATAGTAGTCAGCGTCCATAAAGGTTACAGCTTTGGTAACTCTACCAGTCAGTTGTTCTTTTCTGTCAAATGGGGTCACTATGAGTCAGGATCAACTTGACGGCAACATGCTACTTGGTTTTTGTTTATTTTCATATGGCAAAAATGTCCAGTATTAGACGATTCATCACAATGGACGAATTACAGGTATCGTCGATTGACTTGTATTCCCCTACCCTTCCCAAATATATGTTGGGCTGGGCTATGATTCTCAGTGGTTTGGTAGTTATGGAATGATGAAATCAGGCTCTGTGATGTAATGTGAGGGAATTATCTCTAATTGGCGATGTGCTGTAATTCCTGATCTCTGTGTGTTAGTAGGGAGTCCTGGTGTGGTGCTGTGGGATAATGTGCTGGGCTGCAAGCTTGGTTTGAATCACAAGGTGAGCAGTTCAAATTCATAAGCTGCTCCTTGGAAACCCTATACATGGTTGAAATGAGTCAGGATCGACTTGATGGCACTTAACAACAACAACAACGTGTTACTAACACATCGTCTGTCAGTTTGTCATACTATGGTGGCTTGTGTGTTGCTGCGATGCTGGAAGCTATGATACCAGTATTTTAAATCCCAGCAGGGTCAGCCATGGTGGACAGGTTTCAGATGAGCTTCCAGACAAAGACAAACTAGGGATAAGAAGTGGACCACTTCCGGAAGGTTGTTGTTGTTATTGTAAAGTGCTGGTGAGTCAATTCCAACTCATAGCAACACTTTATAGGGATTCAGAGGCTGTAAATCTTTATGGGAGCAGAAAGCCTCATCTTTCTCCCACGGAACAGCTGGTAGTTTCGAACTACTGACCTTGTAGTTAGTAGCCCAACTAGCTACCGGGACTCCTTAGACTCAGGGGAGACTTTACTATTTTTAAAGAAAAATTGTATTAACCGTTCACCTCAAGTTAGGGTTTATTGAGTGATATCAACAGTTATCTATTTGTTTGTCACACTGTGGTTGTTTGTATGTTGCTGTGATTTGTTACATGTGGTTGTATGTTGCTGTGATTTGTTACACGTGGTTGTTTGTATGTTGCTGTGGTTTGTTACACTGTGTTTGTATGTTGCTGTGGTTTGTTACATGTGATTGTATGTTGCTGTGATTTGTTACACGTAGTTGTTTGTATGTTGCTGTGGTTTGTTACACTGTGTTTGTATGTTGCTGTGGTTTGTTACATGTGATTGTATGTTGCTGTGATTTGTTACACGTGATTGTTTTTATGTTGCTGTGATTTGTTACACTGTGGTTGTTTGTATGTTGCTGTGATGCTGGAAGCTATGCCACTGGTACTTCAAATACCAGGCTACATAGTGACATCCAAGTGACGCTGTGTGCACACATAGGACCTTCCTGTAGAGCCGACAGAGAGAAAGCCTGCCTCTGGAACTGGCTGCCTGAGTTTGGATTTGTGCCTCTGAATTTCTGTTTGCTGAGGTCTTCCATTAAGACATAAAACAGGTGGAACTAGCTCTGTTTCTTAGATGAGAACAGTTGAGCAAAGGTCAGGTAACTTGCCCAAAGGTAAAGTTACATTTGAACAGGATCAGGCATAGCTCTTGGTGCCAGCAGAGGCTCTCTCACATCCTCTTCTGAGTACCCCTAAACTGGCAGGAGCCTCCAGCTCCATCTAAGTCCATTTCAGAAGACTTGACCTGCTGCTTAGATTCAGAGGTTACCAGCAGAATGCACAAGCAGTGGAGGGGAAGAATGGAAGAAGGAACACACTCCACTCGAGGTGAGAAACCAGCTGCCCCAGTGAACTCCAGGGACCCAGTGCCAGCTCTCATGGCAAGCAGACTGATGTTCCGCTAGTGTTTTTGAAAGCAAAACTAAAAACCACCACTCAAAACATTTGAGGAGACTGCTCAGTCACAGTTACAAAGCTTTATGTAATGTGCAATGGGAACATCACAGACTGGGGTCAGGGTGAGTGTTCTGACGGGGTTTGGGCAGACCTCGGAGCTCCCAGTCTCCACACTCTGCTCGTTTCATTCTATTTATTATACTCTTGTCCTCAGGGACACCGATGGGAGAAAAACGCGGCAACCTAGGCAGCAGCAGCTGGCCTGTGAAAGCCGTTCTTGCTTTCTACTGACTGGACTTCTGGTTTCACTGGCGTTGGTTTCATGGGCCGCGTTCCACGGAGGCCCTAACATGTTCACAAAGGAGGCAGGTGGGCCAGGCCCCAGTGCTGACGCTCTGGGAAGGTAGACGGTTTGTGCCCTCCTGAGCTGCAGCATGGAGACATCAATAGGGTGCTGTCATCGCTCATGCTTAATGTTGGCTTCACTTCGCTCCAAGGTCACCCCGCTGCCACTCCGAGGGCCTTCCTTCTTGTTCCAGTCCTTTTCTATGTAAAACTCGGCTAGTACTGGGCAATGTTCAGAAGCCACTCCTCCCCAGGACCAGTTGTCGGGAATCCAAGGGTTTGTGAGACCCTCTCTCACTACAGCCCAGTGACCTGGAGGAGAGAGACAGAGACCCAGAAATCAGATGGAGGGCTGGGGAGCAGGGCCCACAACATGCCAGTACCCCTCAGTTCTCTGCCTTGCTTGTGCAGATGGAAAGCCTCCGCCAATTTGATTTTCTGGATAAATGAGGGTTTACCAATTTAGTTATTAAGACTGCCCAGCCCAGGCCTCCTGTTCATTTACATGTGTCTTCCCATTCGGGTTGATTTCTCACATTTATAGACCGCTTCTAATCTGGTCAGCAAAAGGCATCCACAGTTAAAGTCTAATATTGCAAAGCAAAAGGCACCAACTGCCCTCACAGTTGTTAAGTATTGTTGAGTCGGTTCCGACTCATAACAACCTGTATAGGGTTTTCGAAAAGTGACTGGTAAGTTTGAACTGCTGACCTTATGGTTCAAACCAACTTTGCGGTCCAGCTCATTAACCTGTAGCGCCGGGGCTAATACAGTCTTCCTACAAAATGGGTGATAAAGAGAAAGATACATGGTTTTATGAGAAGGGACAGGTATTTCAAAATAAAGATTTAGAAACATATGAAATCACAACTCAACTGTGGTCGTGAGTATAAGCCACGTCCAGGTAAGACCTAAGGGCATTGGGGAAGGGAGAGCAGGCCTGGGTGTAGCTCTGATCTCTGGCTGTGTGGCATCTCTGTCCTGGGCCTGAGCTACTACAATGTAATAGGTCGGGGGCAGATAACATGCTTTCTACTTGCCATCCTGGGTGCTCCACACTCTTTGTGAGGGCAGTTCACTTCCATGTGCGCCCTCCTGGGGACCTGGGACCTGTAGGTTGGACTCTGCTCCTGGCCAATGTTGCATTTCTTCAAATCATTGCTTGTCTGGTTTGGTGATCAAGTTGCCCTGAGACTCACTGATATCATCCTTTGGATCCTCCCACGACAGAGTCCAATAGGAAATGGATGCCCAGAGAGCGTTAGAAGCAACTGAGGCCGAAGCTAGAACTGCAAGTCATCCTCCTGAGACCTCAGCCCTGGCCACAGAGCAAGCCAGGGTGAAATCAGAGCTTCTGTGTTTAAGCTGCTCATGGGGGTATGACACGCACCCATGGTGCTCTGTCAAGCTTCCACCCAGGGCAGAAGCATACTGTCCTTGTCTTTACCTCTACCATACTTCTGATGAAATGTCAGTGGCAATAGGTCATTAGTTTGGGGGTGAAGCGTGATAACGTTCACTGCTGTGACAACCTATCACATCCAGGTCATCAGGGAGACGTGTCTAAAGCACGTCTCCTCTCCTATCGTGACAGGCCTTATATGACAGGTCCGCCCACCTCTCCCTGCCGGGCATAGGCAGTGTGATGGGAAACCTCATTCCTCCACACAGCACCGGAGGCGTCAAGTTGAACGTCTGCTCATGACAACATGTCCTTGAAATTAAGGTAAGTTACCAGCTCATCTCTGGGTTGCCTGGTTTACACCTGGTTTGTACTTGTTGTAGGTCAGTTCCCCTCAAGTACAAACTCACTGCCATCGAGTTGATGTTTCCTCACAGAGCCCCTACAGGACCGAGGAGAACAGCTCCTGAGGGTTTTCTGAGACTACATCTTTATGGAAGCCTCATCTTTCTCTCATGGGCTGGCTGGTGGTTTTGAACCACAGACCCTGTGGTTAGCAACCCAGCACTTACCTCAAACCATCACCAGGGCTCTTTTTGTAGGTCAGTAAGTGATTTTTAAGGAGCTCTGGTAGTGTAGTGGTTATGAACTGGGCTGTGAACCTCATGGTCAGCAGTTCGAAACTACCAACTCTTCCATGGGAGAAAGATGAGGCTTCCTGCTCCTGTAAAGATTTACAGCCTCAGAAACCCTGTACAAGGTCACTATGAGTCGGAACCGACTCCACGGCACATAACAACAACAACAACAAAGTGCTTTTTAAGGCGCTTTGGTAGCATAGGGGTTACAAGTTGTGCAGCTAACCTCAAGGTCAGCTAGTTCAAAACTACCAGCAGTTCCACGGGAGAAAGATGAGGCTTTCTACTCCCATAAAGATTTACAGCCTTGGAAACCCTATACAGGGTTGCTGTGAGTCGGAACTGACTCCACGGCATATAACCACTACCACCAAGTGCTTTCTGGGAGCTTGGCGCCTCTGTAGGATAAACACTAGACTGTGAACCACAAGACTGGTAGTTTGAGCCCACCAGCCACTCCACAGGAGAAAGATGAGGCTTTCTGCTACAGCCTTTCTCTGTTTGCAGGTGCTCTGGTGGTGCCCTGGGTTAAGCATTGGGCTGTTAACTGCAAGGTTGGTGGTTCAAAACCAGCAGCCACTCCACAGGAGAACGACGAGGCTGTGTTACTGTAACAGACTTACAGTCTCAGAACCCTATGGAGCAGTTCCACTCCGTCTTGGAGGGTAATTATGAGTTGGAATCAACGTGATTATTCATTTTGTTTATTTTTTAATTGTTTATTTTTCCCCCTGTTTGAATGATAATTTTACAGTCATCTGAACCTTATAAAATGCCTTTTGTTGTTAAGTGCCATCAAGTCAGTTCTGGCTCATAGCGACCCTGTATAGGGTTTCGGAGAAGTGGCTGGTGGGTTTGAACCCATGACCTTGTGGTTAGCAGTCCAGTACTTATCCTACAGTGCCACACCAGGACTCCTAGAAATGTCTTGTTGTTGTTAAATGCTGTTGAGTTGGTTCCAACCCATAGCAATCCTGTATAGCGTTTCCAAGGAGTGGCTGGTGAGCTTGAACTGCTGACCTTGCAGTTCAAACTGACTTTGCAGTCCAGCACATTAACCCAAAGTGTCACACCGGGACTCCATTCTAAATGCCTAGAGAAGAGCAAAGACCACTCCTGATCCAACTAAACCAACCACCTGGAGCTGTCAGTTCAGACAGGTTTCCCAAACTCCACTTCTGAATAGGAGAAGGAACCAGTGGGTGTTGCTTTACCTGTGAAGACCTTCTTCAGGCTTTTACTGATCCAGATGTTGTCCAGAGACTTGGAACCTTGAGGGTTCTTGGTGCTGATGTTGGTGAAGGTGTGAGCGGGAATCAGGTGGTGGAATTTTTCTTTCCTCAAGATCTCGTAATCACTACTATCTGGCCCTTGACCAAAATCTCCTAAAATAACCACGTCTTTTTCTCCTGCAATGGAAGAAAGAAGAGGAATGTTAAGAGCTGATGGGAGTAACACTGATCATGCCTCTTGTCAAATTGGCCTGATCCCAAGGGCTAGGATGCTGGAATGGTTCCCAGTCTCCCAAGTTCCTTATACAACCCCCCTTGGATATTTTAACTTAAAAATTTAAGAGGAGGTTAGTGACACATCTGGAAATGGGGATGGGAGTGTGTGATGCAGAAGTCAGCTCAAGCTCACAGGTTCTAGTAGAAAAAGGCCGAAGGGTTTTGCCCAGAGCTTTTAACAAATGCTCAAGAATCATTGATGGAGCATCTGGTAGAGGATACCCGTGAAAGGGGTTTCGAGATAATAAAACATACCTTGCTCTCCATTAGCTCAGAGTCTAGTGGGACAGGCAGATGGGGAAACAGACAAGAGTGGAACCCAGGTGCAAAGCCAATGTTGTGTCCAGAGAAAGGCATGCACAGACAGTATGCTCATGGACTGATGAGGGTCAGGTCAGTAAGGAAAGAAGAAAAGCTGTTCAAGAGCAGATGGAAGAGAGAGCCTGATTTGGGGTGGGGTGGGGTGGGGTGGGGCTGTAAGCAGTTGGGTGTTTTGGCTATCAGGCACAAATAAAGCTAAAGATGAGGCTGGAGACGCCAGCAGCAGCTAATCCTTGAATGGAAGGTGTGTTCTGGCTCTCTGAGGTTCAAGTTCAGACCAGAGGAGAAGGCTGGATTTTCCTGGCTTCCAATAAGGGGTACCTAGCATCCCACTGGGACTCCTGGTGTGGTCCTGTAGGATCAGCACTGGAGTGTGAACCACAGGGTTGGCAGTTCAAGTCCACCAGCTGCTCCTTGGAAACTCTATACAAGGTAGCTATGAGTTGGAATTGACTCGATGGCACTTAACAACAAGAAGAAGCCTCCTACTTCTGTAGGATATGCATGGGCTGAGAACCACAAGGTGGGCAGTTTGAGCCCACCTGCAGCTCTATGGGAAAGAGATGAAGGTTTTTGCTCCCACAATGAATTTTTTTTTTTAAAGCCTCAGAAACCCTCTGCAGAGTCACTTTGAGTCCGAACTAGCTCGACAGCACCCACCCACCATGTTGGTGTACATGACAACTGCTGCTGGCCCTAATTCACTTTGTTCCCAGTACCCACTCCTGAGAAATAATGCTGAGGTGAGCTTCATTTATTTATTAAAAAAAAA